GAAAACTATAAAATCTATTATCGATCAACAGCCATGCCTAGCATTTAAAAGGGCTGTTGGGGAGGTTTTCTTTCTGGTTCTAATAACCATTGCCAGGGCTTAATTTATGCCAGGCAAGAACGATATAAAATCTATTATCTAAAACATTATATTCTTCTTAATTTCCATTCCTTATTCTTGTACTTTTACCATCGACGCTGAGTCTTCTGTCCTCTAAGATGCTGTAGTACATGCCTTTGAGACAAAAAAAAAATCAGCATTACTTCAGCTGCCACTGGCGTTTTACTCCTATGAATTCACAATACACTGTGGTTACTATTACCTCAGAAGCAGTTGTTACCCCCTAGTTACCTAGGAAGAATGGACCATCAATTTCCTAGGAAGAATGGACCATCCACTTCACTCCATATCCTAAGACTCTGAAGAATACAACTTACCTCACAGCGTCGGAGGCGCCATCACAGCCAAAGGCTAATAGGGCTTGAGCTGCAGACATTTTCTTGCTGTCTTGGTTCTTCTTTTTTTCTTTCTTCGCCTTTGTTTCTTCCTCTGTGTCTCTTCTGAGGAACATTTGGCAACAGGCGTGCAAATGTTCCTCCCCTCAATCTCAGGGACTCTAAAGCTATAAAATCTTTTATACATCAACGGCCACACCTAGTATTAAAAAGGGCCGTTGAGGCTTTCTTTCTGGTTCTAAGAATCATCGCCATGGCCAGAATTATGCCAGGCAGAAAACTATAAAATCTATAATCAATCAACAGCTGTGTCTAGCATTTAAAAGGGCTGTTGGGGAAGTTTCCTTTCTGGTTCTAAAAACCATTGCCGTGGCTAAATTTACAGCTGGCAAGAAAAGTATTAAATCTATTATCTACAGTTCAGTTTTGATTTATGTGGTGAAGTAGCATTCTTGATATTCATTCTTGCGTTCCATTCCTTCTTCCTCCATTTTCATCTTTTGTCTTCTAAAATGGTGTAGCAGAAGTCTTTGAGTTAAAAAAAATAGTATTACTTCAGCTGCCCCTGGAGTTTTACTCCGAAGAATGCACAAAGTACAGTGGTTACTATTACCTCAAGTGCAAGTGTTACCTTTCCTTATCAAGGCATAATGCAGAGGTTCCCAACCATTTGGGCACCAGGGAATGGTGCCATGGATAAAGGGTTTCCGCGGACCAGAGGGGGTATGGTTTTGAATACCTGCATCCTGAGGATGGAGTTTGCTTGTTTGTGTGGCCTGCTTGGTGGCATGGTGCGGTCCAGTGCTGGTCCACAGACTGAGTGTTGAGGACCCCTGGCATAATAGATCAACAAGTAGTGGAAGACCACCCACCTCCCTCCATATCCTAAGTCTTTGAAGAATACAAGACTCAACTAAACTTACCACACAGTGTAGGAGGCTCCATCACAGCCAAAGGCTAATAGGACTTGAGCTGGAGACATTTTCTTGCTGTCTTGGTCTTCTTTTTTCTTTCTTCGCTTTTGTTTCTTCCTCTGCTGTGCACAGCAAGGGTTGTCTCTTTTGAGGAACATTTGTCAGCAAGAGTGCACTTGCTCTCCACTCAGTCTGCAAAGCTAAAAAAACTCTAAAATCTTTTATAGATCAACAGCCACACCTAGCATTAGAAAAGGACTGTTGAGGTTTTATTTCAGGTTCTGAAAACCATTACCATGGCTAAAATTATGCCAGGCAAGAAAACCATAAAGTTTATAATCTATCAACAGCCATGCCTAGCTTTAAAAGGGGCCATTGAGAGGTCCCCCCCCCCCAGTTCTAAGAACCATTGCCATGGCTAAATTTACGCCTGGCAACAAACATTTAAAACTTTATTATCTACAATTCAGTTGTGATTGAGTTGGTGAAGTAGCATTCTTGATGGAGACCATATTCATTCTTGTGTTCTATTCCTTCTGCCTCCATTTTCACCATCAACACTGCAGGCTGGCAGCTGAGTCTTCTATCTTCTAAGATGGTGTAGTAGAAGCCTTTGAGTTAAAAAAAATAGTATTACCTCAGTTGCCCCTGGAGTTTTACTCCTAAGAATGCACAAAGTATAGTGGTTACTATTACCTCAGATGCAGGTGTTACCGTTCCTTATCTAGGTATAATGCAGAGGTTCCCAACTGTTTGGGCACCAGGGAATGGTGCGGTGGATAAAGGGTTTCCGCGGACCAGAGGGGGGGGGGGTGTTGAATACCTGCATCCTGAGGATGGAGCTTTGCTTGTTTGTGTGGCCCACTTGCTGGCATGCTGCAGTCCGGTGCTGGTCCACAGACCAGGGATTGGGGAGCCCTGGCATAACGGATCAAGAAGTAGGGAAGACCACCCACCTCCCTCCATATCCTTTGAAGAATACAAGACTAAACTAAACTTATCTCACAGCGTAGGAGGCGCCCTTACAGCCAAAGGCTAATAGGGCTTGAGCTGGAGACATTTTCTTGCTGTCTGGGTCTTCTTTTTTCTTTCTTTGCTTTTGTGTCTTCCTCTGCTGTGCACAGCAAGGGTTGTCCCTTTCGAAGAACATTTGTCAGCAAGAGTGCACTTGTTTCTCCACTCAGACTGCAAAACTAAAAAAACTATACAATCTTTTGTAGATCAACAGCCACACCTAGCATTAGAAAAGGGCTGTTGAGGATTTATTTCAGGTTCTGAAAACCATTGCCATGGCTAAAATTATGCCAGGCAAGAAAACCATAAAGTCTATAATCTATCAGCAGCCATGCCTAGCTTTAAAAGGGGCCATTGAGAGTTCCCCCCCCCCCAGTTCTAAGAACCATCGCCATGGCTAAATTTATGCCTGGCAACAAACATTTAAAACTTTATTATCTACAGCTCAGTTGTGATTGAGTTGGTGAAGTAGCATTCTTGATGGAGACCATATTCAGTCTTTTATTCCATTCCTTCTTTCTCCATTTTCACCATCAACACTGCAGGCTGACAACTGTGTCTTCTGTTTTCTAAGATGGTATAGTAGACGCCTTTGAGATTAAAAAAAAATATCAATGTTACATCAGCTGCCCCTGGAGTTTTACTCCTAAGAATGCACAATACACAATGGTTACTATTAGCTCAGATGCAGGTGTTACCATTCCTTATCTAGGCATAATGCAGAGGTTCCCAACCTTTTGGGCACCAAGGACCGGTGCCGTGGAGAAAGGTTTTCTGTGGACCAGAGGGGGTGTGGTTTTGAATACTGCCTGAATCTTGAGGATGGAGCTTTGCTTATTTGTGTGTCCCACTTGCTGGCATGCTGCGGACCAGTGATGGTCCACCGACCAGGGGTTGGGGACCCCTGGCATAACGGATCATCCGCCTCCCTCCATACCCTGAGACTTTGAAGAATACAAGACTCAACTAACCTTACCTCACAGTGTAGGAGGTGCCATCACAGCCAAAGGCTTGAGCTGGAGACATTTTCTTGCTATCTTGGTTCTACTTTCTTTCTTCTTCTTTCTCTTTGGTTTCTTCCTCTGCCATGCCCAGCATGCGTCGTCTCTTTCGAGGAACATTTGGCAGAAGAGCGCAACTTGGTCCTCCGCTCAATCTGCAAAGCTAGGAAACTATAAAATCTTTTATAGATCAACGGCCACACCTAGCATTAGAAAGGGGCCATTGAGGTTTCCTTTCTGGTTCTAAGAACCATCGTCATGGCTAAAATAATGCCAGCCAGAAAACTATAAAATCTATTATAGATCAACAGCCACACCTAGCATTAAGAAGGGCCAGTGAGGTTTTCTTTCTGGTTCTAAGAACCATCACCATTGGCTAGAATTATGCCAGGCACAAATCTATAAAATCTATTATTAATCACCGGCCACACTGATCATTTAAATGGGCCGCTGAGGTTTCCTTTCTGGTTCTAAGAACCATCACCATGGCTAAAATTATGCTAGGGAAGAAAGGTGTGAAATCAAATATCACTCATAATACCAGGTAGCAGCCAGAATATATAATGAAAACTCTTTAATTTCACAATAAATTCAAAGACCTAACCATAGTTACAGTTGGGAAACTGACTATCCTAGACCAGGGATAGGCAACATTGGCTCTTTTATGACTCGTGGACTTCAACTCCCAGAATTCCTGAGCCAGCCATTCTGGCTCAGGAATTCTGGGAGTTGAAGTACACGAGTCATAAAAGAGCCAAGGTTGCCTACCCCGTCGTAGACCAAGCAATGTCCAAAAACATTAATAAATTTCTAGGAGCCTGTCACTCTGACAAATTAGCCATGAATAGACAGACAGAAACAATATGTACCCACTTTGCAAAAAAGACAACACCTCTTCACCAGCAATCCACACTGAGATATGCATAGATTAACACTATGATTAACATCAGACCAGCAATCAAGAAGTAAACAATGTCCTAATCAAGGAACTGCCAAAGACGCTAACAACAAATAGCACAACAAAGAACCTCCAAGACCATTTTTTTTAAAAACTGCTAAAGCAAGCCTTAGGGCAGTGATGGCGAACCTTTTAGATCTTTTAGAGTGTCCAAAAGCCGCCCTGCCCCAGCTCTCGCCCGCCCGCCTCCCCATCCCGCTCTGCCATCCCGCAGGGCCACCTACCGCCTCCATGGCCCGTCGCAGATCTCCCAGGTGGTCCTGCAGTGCCATGGCAGTCACGCCTTCTGCCTGCGCCCCACAGCATCATCTGCATGCGACAGGGTGCGAGGGCGGAGTCTTGTCCCCACTGCCCGGCTGCCATGTCCTTGGCTGGGCTGCTGCGCCCGGGCCACACCCAGGGGTGATTCTCCTCCGGGGGTCTGCTGGAGAAGAGGGGGCCGCGGGGGGAGGTGGGGCTGGGGCGAAGGCGCGCGTGCCCATAGAGAGGGCTCTGAGTGCCACCTCTGTCCCACGTGCCATAGGTTCGTCACCACTGCCTTAGGGTAAATTTCAGCAAGGCCCAAACAGTACTGGACAGGCTTCCTCAATTTCATGATACACCGAAGAGTGAATTAAACCATCTGTCTTACTGTTGATGTCTTCTTCTTCGTCTACAGGTCATTTTGGATTCGTGCCTTGAAAGTCAACATTACTTCAGTTGGAACTGGGGTTTTACTCCTAAGAATGCACAATACACAGTGGTTACTATTACCCCAGACACAGGGGTTACCCTTGCTTATCTAGGCATAATTACTGGAAGACCATCCACCTCCCTCTATATCCTAAAGCAGGGGTCTCCAAACCTGGCCCTTTTATGACTTGTGGACTTCAACTCTCAGCACGCTGGCTGAGGAATTCTGGGAGTTGAAGTCCACAAGTCATAAAAGGGCCAGGTTTGGAGACCCCTGTCCTAAAGCTTTAAAGAATATAAGACTCAACTAAACATACCTCTCAGCGTAGAGGGTGCCATCACAGCCGAAGACTAAGAGGGCTTGCGCTGGAGACATTTTCTTGCTCTTTTTTTCTTCTTTTTTCTTCTTTCTCCTTTGTTTCTTCCTCAGTCGTGCCCAGCAACGTTGTCTCTTTCGAAGAATATTTGGTAGAAGAGTGCACTTCCTCTGCTCAGTCTGCAAAGCTACAAAACTATAACATCTTTTACAGATCAATGGCCAACCTAACATTAAAAAGGGCCATTGATGTTTTCTTTTTGGTTCTATGAACCATTTCCAAGGCTAAATTTCCAGACCAACAATCAAGAAGTAAACAATACCCTAATCAAGGAGCTGCCAAAGAAGCTAACAACACATAGCGCAACAAACAACCTCCAAGACCATTTTCGCTAACACTGAAAGGAGCCACTAGAACAGTGATGGTGAACCTTTTAGAGACCGAGTGCCCAAAAACTTGCCCCGACCCCGCTCCACCCCTCCATCCCCACCCCCCACCCCCCACCCCCCCCCGCCCACAGGACCACTTACCACCTCCATGGCCCTCCGCAGATTGCCCAGGCAGCCCAGCAGCACTATGGCAGCCACGCCCTCTGCCCGCGCCCTGCAGCATCAGCTGCATGATGGGGTGTGAGGGCAGAGTCTTGTCTACGCTGCCTGGCTGCCATGTCCTTGGCTGCGCTGCTCCGTGTGGGCCACGCTCAAGGGTGAGTCTCCTTCAGGGGAGCTGCTGGAGAGGAGGGGGTCGCAGGGGGAGGCAAGGCTGGGGCAACAGCACATGTGCCCACAGAGAGGGCTCCGAGTGCCATAGGTTCGCCACCACTGCACTAGAACAAACTGGGAACAAACTGCACTACAACAGGGGTGTCAAATTGCCGGCCCATGGACCGGACAGGTCACGTGGAAGCCCCGCCCACCCCATTGCCGGCAAGGGCAAAACCAGCCCGATGCGTTGCATGACGTCACATGATGTCACGAGTTTGGACATGCTTGGTCTACAAGAAAACCGCCAAGCTCAGAGAGCACCAAAGACACCTCATTTCAACTGTTAACCACAAATATTCTTCTTTATTGGTATTCCTCATATTAAAATGCATCACCAGGTTTACTTTTGCTTCTAAGAAGTCTGGCTAGTATTGGCATTATTTCCAAGGGTGTGAAGGTGGGAGGGAGGTGATCCCAAAGGATTCCCTTCCGGCTTGAGTCTCACTGAGGGAGTCCTCAGGTACTGGAGGAGGCTGGTATCTGTCTGATTCTAAGATCTACAGCCAATAGCTAAAATTGTCTTGGGTCATAAATTTTTTTGCTACTTTTTAGGCATGTTTGTCACACTTATGACTGCTCTTTTTACCCTTGATACTTTGTAATGTTTAAAAAAAAACTTTGCTAAAGCAAGTCTTAAGATAAACTTTAGCAAGACCCAAAGATTTTTACAGTAGTTAACATGTTGCAAACAGTATCTGCCAGGCTTCCTCACTTTCATAATACACTGGAGAGTGAATTAAACCATCTGTCTTACTGTTGATGTCTTCTTCTTCGTCTACATGGATTCATGCCTTTGAAATTAAAAAAAAAAAAATCAACATCACCAAATGACCATGGATGTTCAGAGGTTAGAAAAGCAATCAGTCAAAGGGGGTTTATGTGTTTTATCCTACTTGTCAAAGAAGGCAAGATACAATAACTTGTAACATTGCTCCCTTAAGCCACTAGCCTGTTTTCTACATGTTTTGCTTCTTTTAAGGCAGAGGTCTTCAAACTTAACCCTTTTATGACTTGTGGCTTGGCCCGCTGGCTGAGGAATTCTGGGAGTTGAAGTCCACAAGTCATAAAAGGGCCATGTTTGAAGACCCCTGGACTTCAACTCCCAGAATTCCTCAGCCAGGCACGCTGGCTGAGGAATTCTGGGAATTGAAATACAGAAGTCATAACAGGGCCACATTTGAAGACCCTTGGACTTCAATTCCCAAAATTCCTGAGCCAGCCATGTTGAGGGGAAAGGGAAGTTTCCAAGCTGAGCCATGCTGGATCAGGAATTCTGGGAGTTGAAGTTCACAAGTTATAAAAGAGCCAAGGCTGCCTACCCCTGCGCTAGTTTCTTGTCTTGTTAACTTGTTAAACTATAGGGTTTCCTGCCTGAGCAGAGGGTTGGACTAGATGACCTCTAAGATCCCTTCCAACTTTATTATTATTCTATATTTTACTTTTAGGGGCTTGTGCGTTGATTAAAATTACCTCAGATTCCAAAAAAATTACTTTATTCCTGAGAGCAAAATCAATTCCTGAGATAATTTTACCTTTAAAGCTAATTTTAACTCCTATTCACCTTTAAGAATTTAAGAACTTGAATTCTTGGCTAAAATTACCCCAGGAATTCACTTTATTCCTAAGAGGAAAGTCAGTTCCTGAGATAATTTTACCTTTAAAGCTAAGTTTAACTCCTATTCACCTTTGCTGGTTTGGTCCCTTTAAAAAGGACATGGCTGAGATTAGCTCAGGTTCCATCAAAATTTTATTTTAAGAACTTGAATTCTTGGCTAAAATTACCCCAGGAATTCACTTTATTCCTAAGAAGAAAGTCAGTTCCTAAGATAATTTTACCTTTAAAGCTAATTTTAACTCCTATTCACCTTTGCTGGTTTGGTCCCTTTAAAAAGGACATTGCTGAGATTAGCTCAGGTTCCATCAAAATTTTATTTTAAGAACTTGAATTCTTGGCTAAAATTACCCCAAGAATTCACTTTATTCCTAAGAGGAAAGTCAGTTACTGAGATAATTTTACCTTTCAAGCTAATTTTAACTCCTATTCACCTGTGCTGGTTTGGTCCCTTTAAAAAGGACATGGCTGAGATTAGCTCAGGTTCCATCAAAATTTTATTCTAAGAACTTGAATTTTTGGCTAAAATTACCCCAACAATTCACTTTATTCCTAAGAAGAAAGTCAGTTCCTGAGATAATTTTACATTTAAAGCTAATTTTAACTCCTATTCACCTTTGCTGGTTTGGTCCCTTTAAAAAAGACATGGCTGAGATTAGCTCAGGTTCCATTAAAATTTTATTCTAAGAACTTGAATTCTTAAGAGGAAAGTCAGTTACTGAGATAATTTTACCTTTAAAGCTAATTTTAACTCCTATTCACCTTTGCTGGGTTGGTCCCTTTAAAAAGGACATGGCTGAGATTAGCTCAGG